AGGGATTGGGCGCGCCCGCGTGTGTGTCTGTTTGCGAGAAGGCACGAGCGCCCCCCTACAGCCTCCACACGACCTCAGGCCACAGCCACCTAGCAGTCCCGAGCCCCTCATAAGGCCCGCACCCCCTGCTCTTGCTCATGTGGGACTCTGTCTCCCCAGCCAGGGCGTAGTTCACAGAATGGGGCCAGGTCCGCTTGGCCCACTCTGCTCCCGCTCCCTGGGCTCAGAACGGAGCCTCACACACCCAAGACGCTCAGCCACTAAGCCGGGGCTTAAGGGAATCCCTGAAGGGTCGGGGGAACCACAGAACCCCGGGGCTGGAGGGACTTTGCACTTCCTATACTCAAACCGCCTCCAGAGAGGCATCTGTGAACACTGGAGTTCAGTGGCTGCGTCTTCTGGACGATTCCAGGTAACCGCCTGCGTCGGACATGAGACACACCCACAGGCGGGAGCCATCCGGCCTCCGACGGTGCACAGAGCACTCCCACACCTTGGACTGGGCAGCGTGTCCCTCAAGAGGCCGTTCAGAGGCCCCAGAGAAGTGGCTTTGAGCTGTGGTCATCCTCAGGAACCTCTGCAGCGATGTCAGGACAACACAGCATCTCCTCCATTCACACACACAGACTCTGGCGGGGCCTGGGCATCTGGAGTCTCAGAAGCTCCCCAGGTGACTAGAATGGGCAGCCGGGGCGAGGGAGAGCCACTGAGTTCCTGCATACTCAGGTGCCCGGCCAAGGCTTCTCGGAAGTGGGGGCCACCATCAGAGGGCCAGCTGGACACATAGGCCAGCGGGGCCCAGCCCTGCCCCTGCCCCCAGATGGGAGGTCCTCGGAGTCACCCTGCTCTACCTGAGCAACAGCTGGCCGGCATTCCCCAGGCCCAGGCTCAGGTCCAGCCTCTGCGAGAGACACAAGAATGTATCCACTGCAGTCAGCACAGGGGGTCCCAGGGGCCGGTGACCGCGGGACAGGGTGAGGCCGTCCTGTGGACCCGGGGACTGTGTCTTCCCGAGCACAACGCCTGAAGCACGCATTCAACAGCACATAGGAGTTTACCAAGGTAACAAGTAAGCACCCGGCGCTCATGAGAACCCGGGCAGCCCCGGCCCTCGGCCTCTACCCTCCTGGCCTCCGCACGTGGGCTGTGCCGTGTGCAAGGGCAGCCCCGGCCTGCATCCAGACCCTCTCTCAGACCACGGGGCTCCAAACATGCTAGCTCTTCCCCAAGCTCACAAACACTGAGAGCTAAGAGTTGAACCGAAGTCCTGCCATCTTCTGGAAGTAGTCCACCCACCCGAACGCTGCAACCTGCGAGGCCGCCGATGCTGTGCGCACCTTCACGCCTCCTCCCGGAGCCGGCACCGCGCTGGGCTGGGCACTGCCACCCGGCAGCCGGGGCCGTCCCCAGAGATGGTGGCTTACAGGCGAGGCTTCTACCCAGAGCCCCCCACTGCTGCGCAATGCCACCCAAACATTGTTCGGGAGCCTCTTTTGACCCGTATTACGGGGACTTCCCACAGGCCCTGCTTCCCTGTGAGAACTTGCTCAAACAACAAAACCCACAGCATAGCCGAGAGCCGTGAATCCTACAAAGGCCCAGAAAGCAGCCGGGGCGCACCAGCGCCACCACGCTCAGGGAGCTCTGGACGCGGAAGGAAAGATGCCCTTGGTTCAAACCCTGGCCAGTCATCCAGATGACCCTGGATAAGCAGCGCTGGCTTGGGGAGCTTTGGCAGGCTTCCACGGGTGGTGGCGGGGACCTACGTGCGTTCAGGCCACTGTGCTGTCTGCTCCACAGCAGCCACGAGTCACGAGAGACCACACCGTGGCACCTCGCTCCCCTCAAACCTGGGGGAGAAAGGGAACGTGGGCTACGCAGGCTCTCCCACAGGGGCTGACTGCCCAGCTAAGCAGGGCTGTGGGAAAGCAGGCGGCAGCAGGGGCTGACACGGCAGCCCCCCCAGTGAACGTCTGCTGACAGTGAGGCCGCGGGACCCAGCCCCCACCCTTCCTCTTCCATGAATGGACAGTAGCTTTGCTGCAAGGCTCTTCTGTGCTCTGTCCTTCACGTCCTTGAAAGGGCCCGGGCCATGCCACACACCCAATAAATAAATGCTTGTTGAAAGCGCGAGTGAATGAGAGCAAAGGAGGATGGAACCCAGGGCAGAGGGATCAAGCAGCTTCCGGCCTCGTCCTCTGTGGGCCCATTCATAGTGAGCACGTGTCCCAGGGCCCCTCACCCGCCGGCCCAGCTCCTCCGAAGCCTCACATATAAATATTCATGTGCCGGGGGGGCCATCACATGGTGGGGTCACAGAACTGAGGGGCGGGGGTCACCAAGAAAGCAGCAGCACCACCTGCTGCCTGTGGGGCGGAAGCCGGCCTCTGTCCCAGCCTGGGCAGCGAGCGGGCCTGCGGCGGCCAAGGCCTTCCGAATCACCAGGCTGCGGACCCCTGTCTCCCCAGGTGGCTGCTTGTGCATCTGGAGCAGAGGAAGTGCCCAGCCGACCCGGCAGGCGCCAATCGCCCTCCTCTCAGCCCTCAGCACTTCCTCCCAAGGCCTGGTTGACCGAGCGGCTCCCAGTGCCACTTGGAAAGAACTGGAAACGGCAGGGCTGGCTACAAACAGCGGCTTTCCAAACAGTGCTCCTTTCATCCAGAGGGCACAACTATCAGGGCTCGGGCGGAGACTCTCAATCTTTCCAATTTATGAATGTGTTTCCGGGCAATGGGGTGGCCCAGGAAACACACCCAAGCAGGTTTCACTAGCGACTTGTCGGTACGTCTGACAGCATGTCTTGCTGTGAAGGATGGAGGAGAAGGCGCGGTTCCCACGCTCCCACAGAGTGCAGAGAAAGCGGAGCGCAGGAACACCACCACCTCTGGGGACAGCCCTGAGCTGCTGCATGACAGTGTCCCAGCCCAGCACTGCCCCACTGGAGCCTCTAACGCTCATGACACAGTGCAAACGGAAATACTCCTACCTACTTGTCAAACTGTAGATACAGTATGACCTGAACGACGTACAAGCAAGGGCCCAGAAAATACAGGAAGCAAAGAAGCTAACGTGTCAGCACTGGTTCCCTCTCAACCCTAGAATCGGAGGTGACTTTTCCAGGACCTGCTTGGCCACAGAAGGTTTCTGCTGTGGTCCAAGATGGCATGATAAGCACTGAAACTGCCCCTGACTTGCCCTGTGGCCCCAGAGGAATGAACGGCCTCTCTGGGCTTTGGCGTCCCGTTTCCTCCCCAGGTCGCTGGTTAAAATGCAAAGTGTGTCAGAACCAAGGAGAGGGCCCTGGGCTGGGCAGGAGACAACAGATGCCAAACTAGCTGTGCCTAAACCACACTGAGCCCCCCATAGATATATTCCCCAACCATGTTCTCAATTTTTAAAATTCATTGTGACCATTTAAAAATAGATTTCGAAAATTTAGGTTTCAATCTTCTCTTTAAAGAATTGGATTCACAGTAGCCAAAAAGTGGAAACAACCCTGAAGTCCATCAGCTGTTAAACGGTTAAACACAATGTGGTCTGTCTATAAAACGGAGTATCATTCAGCCAAAAAAGGGAACAACAGAGGGACACACGCTACTACACAGATGAACTCTGAAAACGTTATGCTAAGTGAAAGAGACAAAGGCCATATCAGGTCCGACTTCATTACGTGTCTGAAACATCCAGAACAGATCCAGAGACAGAAACCAGCAGCTGCCACAGGACAGAGACGCAGCAAGGAGTGACTGCTCAGTGTGGACGGAGTGACGGAAACGTCCCGGGATCAGCAGTGAGGGCTGCCCGGCACCATGAATGGCTACGAACTGCCGCACTGTCCGCCCACAGACACAGCATACCTCGGCAAGGGTTGGCTGCCACTGGGCGCCAGCTGCCTCTCCTGGGCTCTGTCCCTGTCTCAGGCTGGCTCCTGGTGTCCGCTGCGTGCAGGGGTGTGAGAACCCCAACAGCGGGAGGTGGCCCCGCTCTGCCCACCAGAAGACACCCCAGCACCCCGTGAGGTCAGTCTCTGGCTCAATCAAGACACCCAGCAACGAGGCACACAGTACCGTCCACCAGCCAAAGGAAAGGAAGAACCACCTCCTTCACAGAAAACTCGTAAATCTGGTCTCTCCTAACCAGGTAACACACACCCTTAGTAAGTTAAGTGGAACAGTATAAAAAAGGTAGACAGTGGAAGTCTGTCCCCCACCCCACCCCCAGGCCCCATGCCAACCACCTCCATCAGCCACTGACTCAGCACAATTCAATCCTCTTCCGCTCTGGCTTCCACCCAGACTGCTTTCTCTCCTGGCCGCTAGAAATACGTGCAGTCTGCATAATGACCCATTACACAACTGTGAAAGGGATCGAGAATCTTTCCTGAGGAACATCCTACCCATAACTCAAGGAGGCCAGCACCTTACAGAGGAACTATTTTCAGATTTAGCACAAAAGTCAAGAGCCACTGTCTGGAAGGGGCCCAGGTGGGCATTTCCAAAACTGCCTTTGCTATCCCCATGTAGGCTAGGCAAGACTTTAGCCCACAAGCTCCCCGGGGCCATAGCACACAGGCCACAGACCACATGAACCGCCAAGCTCCCTGCCGCCATGCGATTCTGGCTTTCAGTGAGTGAGACCTGTAGGCCATTTGGCCTGTAGTCTGACTCCAGGCCCAGAGGGCTCCTGCCAAAGGGAGTCTGGGGATCTGCCCAGGTCCCCGAGGCCAACTGCATTGCCAAAGGACATCTGGGACTGACACAGCCTTCTGGACATGACTGCCAAGCCCCGAGTGGGCAGAGCCCTGATCCCACACCCCTGCTCCATGGCGTGTCTCACACCCACCAAACCACTGCACGCTCTTTGGCTCTCACAAGGCCAGCCCTCCACTGGGGACACCCTTGCCACCTGCCTGCCAGCTTCCTGAACTAAGTCCCGTCCCAGGATGCTGGTATTCCCACCTTGCCCACACCCGCCCAAGACCTTGAAGGCAAGACCATTACCTGTTTGTGTCTGGGTCCCTGGATAGCACGACAGAGCCTGGCATTTGGCACACTTCGGCAAACATCCAGGGAACCGAGCTGAATACGGAAGATGGTTCCAGTTTGGGGAAACAGAGACCCCAAAGAGATACAGGCAAGTTGCCACAAAATATACAAATGCAAGTTCCTAAACAGATCAGCTGAGGCTGGCAGGGCTTGGAGCACCCAGAGGGAACCTCCCAGAGCAGCAGGCTGGGTTGGAAGCCACCACCAAGCCCGCAGGCCAAGCCCTGCATCCAGCGATCAGGAAACCCAATGCCCAAGATTTCTACCCAGATTATACTGATTGTGTCGCACTCATGTTGCAAATATTCTCCCACAGATTCTCTTACATCTGGCATTAAACGGAACTTTAAAATAATCCACTTATCCTAGTAAACGGACTTACTGTTGCTTTAAGTAACAAGCAAGCAGAATGACAGCAAATGTATCTTTTCATTAGTGATCACAGTACTCACATCCTAATTTCCACTAATTACAGTAACCTGATTGAGATGTTTCATGCTGTGTCTTACAGCTTCTTTACCTGGGGTGCTGGGTGCAATTCTGAGGCCAAGAGACTGGACACATGTCCCAGAAGAGGGCCAAGGCATTTCTGATGTGTGTGGGAAGCAGAGAGGAAGTCAGCTTTCCCTCTACCGAAGCAGAAAACCATTCAAAACAGGAGAGCACTGTACCACAGTCATCAGGAGGACGGGACTGGGTGTTACAGTCCGGTAACACCTGAGAGGGGGACTGGAGAAGCCTGGGCACCCATCACCAAAGACCTACCCCACTCCCACCTCCACCGGGTGAGAGAGCAGGAAGCTCGGCCCCAAGGCCCTTCACACATCTAGCAGGCAGGCAGGGGACACAAATGAGGAGGGTATTTACCGAACGGTGGCCAGGGGTCTGAAGTGCTGGCTGGGGCCGCCGGCCCACCCCAAGGGTTTGTCTGGTTAGCTGAGGCTGACCGGCCCCAAGGCTCTGCTTTCTGGGCAGCAGGGCCAGAGCTGGGGAGGGCGTCCATTAAATCCAACAGAGTAGTCTGCTGTGGGTGGGAGCCATGCTTTTGAGACAAAGAGAGGGGACAGGTTTTACTTTGCTACAGTTAACAGCAAATATCTATGAGTTAGCCACTAGCCGTAAATACCATCCCTCTTGGGACTAGAAGCCCTCTGGGCGGGGCCAAGAGGAAACTGAGGAGGCCCCCATGTCCTCCCATCTCCTGCCCCACCCAGCCCACCACCCCATGGACCCACTTCCCACTCCAGCCCAGGCTCCACCCACTTCCCCACCCCAGCCCAAGCTCCACCCACTTCCCCACTCCAGCCCAGGCTCCACCCACATCGAGCCCTTTACTTTGGGCTCAAAGCCCACCTGTTTGCTAACAGCTCCAGGATTTTCCAGGATAACACAGGCTTTGCACCAGGCTGCAGCATCCCTCCAAAATGCTGTCCCCACCCACCGACCTCGGTGTCCCCTGCAGCCAGCCATCATCCAGGGCCCCCTCTCCCAGGGCCTGCCCTGCCCTCCAGTTCCCACAACCACCAGAGCTGCTGTCAGGGACCCTGTGGCACTGTGATATGGGAGACCACCAGAACCCCGGCACGGTGATGGGGACGGGGCGGGGGGGAGCCTGTCTTGTGACCAGAGGAGCTTGTGGGAGCAGTATCATGTCCTGGTCGCCTCAGGCCCCATGCGGGCAGCCTGGCGCAGGGTAAGGCTGATGACGGCCGTGAAGCCCAGCACTACTGAGCCTTTCCCTGTGCCAGGACTCTGTTCCAAAGCACCAGACGCTTGGCTCCTATAACAGTCACCTGACCACACGGCTACCACTCGCTGGTGTACCGGCGAGGAAACTGAGGCCCCGGTCCACAGAGGCCCCTTGCCAGCGCCCACCTTCTCTCCGGCTGGTCTCGGGAGAGCCTCCGGAGGAACGGCACAGGCGGGGGTGTTTTCAGTCACGTCCTCCCCTCACTCGTGCTCATCACGGAGGGGTATACAGAAGGCGTCCTGTCCTGCCCTGTGGGTTGGGCTTGGACACTCGGCAACCACGGAGGGACCGGCTCCCACACTGACCTCTCCGATGAGGTGCTTACCTCCTTCTTTTTGGGAACCTTAACCGTGTCTCTTCGGCTTTCTTCTAGGGCCATCTGTAATCTGAGGTCGTCACCCCGCCTGAGGCGTTCTTCCTGCAGAGGACAATGGCACTGTGACAACATCACTGAGCCGAACAGAACAAAGCAACACGAACAGAACAAAGCAACACCCGAAGCGAACATGGCTAACAAAGTCTGACCACACAGTATTGCAAAGGAAGATCACAAAACAACCTGTAATACAGTTATTCTGTCCTGCGAGTGTGGCCCAGAGGGCTCGTCCCCCACCCCCTGCCCGCCCCATATGGTTTCCCTGGTTTTGGGGTCCCAGTGGGCAGATGGGTGGGGGGGAGGGGCACAGACACCACCAAGTCCCGGGAAAGGGAACACTTACTCTACAATGCTTTTATCTTAAAATGAAAATGGCTTTATATTCTAATTAAAGAAGCAATGCATCTCCTTGTAAAATACAAAAGCCTGAGAGCCCAGAAAGGAATCAGGAAGAGAGTGAAAATCACCTATCACTGCATGTTTATTTCTAGGATTTCAAAAAGAAAGCATTCATTATACAGTTGACCCTCCAACAACACGGGCATTAGGGGAACCAACCCCCACCCTGAAAATCCACATATAAATGTTGACTCCTTAAAAACCTAACTACTAAGAGCCAACCGCTGACTGGAACCCAAGTAAGTCACCGAATGCATATTCTGTGTATGTGTGACTATGCTGTGTTCTTATAATAAACTAAGCTGAAAAAATGTTATTAATAAATTAAGAAACAGGTAATAAATTTACAGCCCTGTACTTATTGACAAGAATCCACACTTAAGTGGAGTTGTACAGCCCAAAACTCGTGTTCTTTAAGGGTCACCTGTATCTAATTAATATTCATTTAAGGCGAAGTCACCCCATGCAGAAGACTGGGCTGTCCTAGCTTTTATGTCATCACGAATCAGAAATAAGTTCCTTGCATTTTACTTATTACAAATATGATTAATCACAGAGATGAGTTATGGACGAAAATGGGCTCTGTCTGTCTGTCCGTCCCTGTACTCCTGCCCCTTCTTCCCGGGCTGTCTGGGACAGAGCCAGGAATCCACAGGGACGGATCTAAGGGCTGGGCTTTCCCTACTGTGAACAGGGAGGCTGTAACAGAAAATGTCCACCCCCCTGAGGTTCAGGAGGTTCCAGTTATAGCGACACAGATCAGCCACCTCTGCACTTCTGTCCAACTCTCCCTAATATCTGCGTCTGTGCATCACTTCTAGGAGACAGAGAGCCTCGTGCTACCTGACTCCATCCACCCTCCCTCACCCAAGGTCAGCAGGGACAGACCTGATCACTGGGACCAAAGGGACGACAGCTCTGAAAGGTCATTTCCAACACGCCTTTCCCTCCTTCTCCATGCTAAAGGCAGGCGTGATTATTAGAGAAAAACAGGAACTGAGAAAAGAATTGAAACTGCACAAACAGCCGTCGCCGAAACATAATAAGGGTTCTTACTACCTGCAGCTTTCCCTCCCAGCCTTGCTTCTCAGCATTCAGATGTTCCTGACCTGTCTTCCAAACTGCCTTCCCTGGGGGCTAAGCCCACATGCCTTGCACGAAGGGACCACGATACGTGGCTGTGTCTACAGCAGTGTTTCTGGGGAGCCCTGTGACCAGCTCACCCACTGGCCCACAAAAAGGACCCCTCCCTGACCGGGGGTGGGGGTGTGGTGGCAGGGGTGGCACGAACACCGCTATGGCAACGCCCAGTCCCATCTCGGGAAACAATGAGGCCGGGGCCTGCGTCTGTCACTGTCCCTGCTGTGACCCATGCCCCACCTGGGGACCCCCCAGCGTGCAGTCCCACCTGCCTGGCACCAACCTGCTCAGCGACTTCTCTGCTCATGGCAAGTGCCAACTGCAGCTGTAGCTCCTCTTCTCCGCTGGTCTGCGGCCGGGCCTGCTCCAGCTCAGAGGACACCCTCGGGGAAGTGGCTGTGGGGGAAAGGCAAAGTCACCACATGCACAGGACAGGCTCCAGCTCGAGGTCACCCGGTCAGACCACTCTCTGTCCCTACCTCACACCCACAAAGCCCAACAACGTGGGAGCCGTACAGGGAAGGTCTGTGAGTACGTCCAGGTTAAAATCCAGTTAACGCCAACACGTGGATTTTCAGGGACGTAAGCCACGTGGCCGGCAGCCATCAAGCAAGAGGCCTTCCAGGGCAAGGGAGGATTAGAACCTCCGTCTTCACTGCAGAGCTGCCCTCCTTCAAAGAGAGAAACTACCTTTTTTTTTTTTTTTAACAAGATCAGAAGTATTGCTCTTGAACATCCAGATCAAAGAGTGTCATTCATACCAGCACTAGGCTAGACCAAGAACTTCACTCAAGATTCCCACAACATTTTAAGAATCTCACTTTGGATCTCATGGTGGTAAAAACCATGGAAAATGAAGCCCAAGTGTTTCTGCAGCAACCCCAAAAGTTTTTGTTTTCTATGTAAAACTGCATCAACTTGGGAAAAACACCTTTTTTTTTTTTTTTTGCTATTATCAATTAATAGTTAGCTAGTATCAACTCAACAAGTTAGCTAGTATCAACACTTGCAAGCAGCTCCTGGAAACAGTTTTACTGAAGGGATGAGATGTGGACTCCTGGCTGATACAGGACACCTCCAGGAAAGGCATCTTTATGCATTCACACTCATCACACCGGCCTGGGCCTCCCCAGATGGAAAATGTGGGGGCTCACACGGCCATCGGGATTTCGGTGCATCAGGGAGTTGTAGGTATCTCCAGAAACCAGACACAAAACTTTGGGAGCACAGTGCCACCTCTGCCTTCACCACAGGAGAGGATCCACGGCTTCTCTGAAATTCTCAAAGCCAGGTCCCACTGCCTCCGATGGTTCCCCACTGAGCCTCTATGCATGCCATCCCCTCTGCTCACCCAGCCAACTCCTCTGTTCTCAGAGCTCAGCCCCGCTGCCCTGATTCTCCTGGACCACCCTCCTCACTGGTGCTGGGTCAGCAGCCCCTCCCTGCCACAGCACTTCCCCTACCCTGCCGTTTGGTAGATCATGCCAGAAGGTACGCTCCTTGAGGAGGCTCCACACCTGTCTTCTCACCATTATATCCATCCTCAAAGTTTGGCAGAGGTGCTGGCAAATACCCACTGGCCAGTTGCATGGAAGCATGCAGAGATGGATGGACGGACAGATGGAGAATTCAATTTCGTGGCAGATGGGTACTTGCTTGAAAATGCTCTAAGTGTGTATCAGTTTGCTTCCTTCTTTCATTATGTCCATTCCAGCAAACCCAACCATTACCACTCACTCACCCAAATGCTGCTCCCACCTAAAACTCCAATCTGAATTTGCTGCTTAGGACTGCCTCTTTGGGAGAAAGTAAATAAGGTCAGGAATGATTCCTGGAAGGTGAGGTTTCCAGTTGGGTAGGCTCTGGTTATCGGGAACAAAACAGGAAAAGAGGGCTAGGTATAGTTAGGATCATAGGAGGACCAGGCAGGGCTGCAAGGGGCAGGGGGCAGGGCAGGGCAGGAGACTGTGAAAGGCAATGCTTTCTCGCACAAGTTTTGTGTCAAACACACAAAACATACAGCCGTTAAGAGTTCATCCAGAACAGTCCCATGTCATGAAGCACAGTGCATTTGCTGTGATTTACTGTCAACTCAAAGAAACAGGAAAAAAAAAAAAAAAAAGCCAGCAAACAGTTGCCCCACATCTACTCTAAGCTCCATGAACAAGACAAAGATGAAAGACAAGTTGAATCCCAGGCTAGTTATATCACATTACTTTTTCCAAAGTACTTGTTTTAAAAATACAACTAGATGGTAAGAACATGTCAAGTCCACCTTAATAAACTCGCTCATTAACAACATACCAAGACAAAAGCCTTTTTTTTTTTCCTTTGCTGTTGCTAGTTTTGTGGCCAAGCCTCACCGATGGGTCACAGTGCTTAGGTCTTGGGCTTTCCTGTACCTAGAGGCAAAGGTGTCCCCACCCAGACTGCTGGAGACTGAAGCCGCACAGCACCGGGGAACGGCTCTGGAGGCTTCTTCCCAGCTGACTGTGGCTCCCACACAGATCCCTGACCACCGGGCTGCCTGCTCCCAGCCTCCTTCCTGATGATCTCAGAAGCTCACGTCACAGAACTCTCTGTTTAGAACGAACACAGCACACTCGGCACCTTCATTCACTACCACACGGAAATGGGGAGTACATAAAGAAGACCTATATCCCATCTCACACCCCGAAAAAGAGCTCTGAAAAATGAGCCCCATCTTGGCTCGCCCTGGCAGGGGAAGCTGCCACTTGGCTGTACCGCCACAGGGCCCGATTCAGCGCCGCCAGGGATGAATGGGACGGGGCTCTCAACAGGGACCTTCTAGAGAAATGAGCCTCCCTTGTCCTCTGACATCTGCAAGGCCAGACTGGCTTCAAATGCAAATGGACATGTTCCTGTCTGCCGTTAACGGACGCCTGCCGAATAATGCATAGCCAGCACGTGCGGAAATAGCTTACCACATCAATGTGGAAATTAAAGACAAAGGGTATTCCCCTAAATGCTGTGGTTTTTGTCAACGGATGTATGGCTCTCAGTTCCACAGATGGCAGAATTCACAGCCATCAGCCCCGAGAATCAGCTGAGCTGCGCACAGCGGGCTGCGAGGGACAACACCCACAGAGACGTTCTTGCCTCAGTGACGGCAGCCCGGCCCCCAAAAAGGGCCCCTTGTACCCACGTACATGACAGCGAACACAGATGTGCCTGTGAGACGGGCCTGAAAGCTCCTTTGTGACCACCTGAGCCTGGCCCAGCTCCACGGTTGACAGGGACTCCTGGAAAACGCAGGTGGCCCAGCAACGGTTTTCCCACCGGCCGCCTCCTGGAGGGAAGACTGGGAACTGCCAGCATAGGCGAATCACTAGCGGAACTACACACAGGCCATCACCCTTCTCCAACCACTAAGACATCTTTCTGTGTACGGATCCCGCCTGGAGGAACTCGTCAAAGTCCTCGCTTGCTGGGGCCGAGAATCAGAAACATTGGCCAGGCCTCAATTTGATGCTTTCTGGCCTGGTACCGGGCTGAGAAAGCCCAGGCGAAGGGCTGAAGAGGAAGGAAAGCCTACAAAGGCCAACTTTTCCCTCCAAATACAGGCTAAGAGGAAGACCAAGAAATATCTCCCACGGCAGGGAGACGAGCCTGTCTGGTGTTCACGCCAGCCCCGGGCTGCAGGAGGGACCCTGGTTCCCAAACGCAACCCTCAAGGAAAGGCTGGAAGATTTTCTAATAAAGAGGCTTCAGTTGGGCAATCTTGGGCAACTGCAAAAGAAGAAATCGAAGTAGTCAAGGTAACAGGAAAATAGGAAATCACCACTTCTCAGGGCGTTTCACTGTCTTCCTAGAAAGCACTACGCAGTGTCTGCAGTCACACTGATTAAAGGGGACAGGGGCGCCTGGGTGGCTCAGTCGTTAAGCATCTGCCTTTGGCTCAGGTTGTGATTCCAGGGTCCTGAGTTTGAGCCCCACATGGGGTTGCCTGCTCGGCAGGAGGCCTGCTTCTCCTTCTCCCATTCCCTCTGCTTGTGTTCCCTCTCTCACTGTGTTTCTCTTTGTCAAATAAATAAAATCTTAAAAAAAAAAAAAAAAAGGTAACAGACATCTTCGAACACGACCTGACCAGCAAGGGCTCTGAGTGAGTGACCAGCGGGACTTGGGATAAAGCACTCTGGCCACTTGAGCTCCACACAAGGTGAGCAGCCAATCCTGGGCGCACAAGGCAGAGCTGATACCTCGGGAAGAATGGAAGGTCACCGGGCCTCGGGGGCCGGAAAAGACCCCACCATCTGGATCTTAACACTGCTGCCACCTTTTACAACCCTGGGCGTGTTTGCAGACAGGTATGCTAGGGTTCAAACCCTGTCCTCGCCATTTACTAGCAGAGAGGTCACATGCAAATAAAGGGCCTGCCCTCTCCAGGTTCCATACCCACATCTCTGAAATGCAGACAAACGGGGTCTGTGGGAGGGGCCAGGGATGCTCAACACACAGCTGGCTCTCCCCAGAAAATGGGCCTTGCCTCAGGTCACGTCTCCCTGCTCCGACCCATGACCACCAGACTACCTAGGGGCTGGAGCTGTCTGCAACTCCCACTCCCCAACTTACAGAGCAGAAGCTGTAAATAGGTACCCCGTCATACCCTGGCCCTTCCCAGGCCTCCGTGAGAACGGGACTGGGGCCATGGTCCTTCAAGAGGGGAGACGGGGAGCGGACACTGAGCCCACAGCCAGCTTCCGCCCTCCAGTGACCGGTTCCCCGGCTGAGTTCCTTCCTCATTACTGAACTGCAGCGAAGTGCTTACTGGATCTTTCTCGATGTGGTGACACCTTCCTGTGGCTTTATGGGCCACTTCCTGAGTCACCAGTGAAACCTCGGCCACCCCCACCCAGCAGCCTGGCCCGAGCTGAGGCTTCCAAAACCTGTTCCCACAGAAGACCCTCCAGGGTCTTCATCTTACCTCCTCACAGGGAGGAGTGGGAAAGACTGTCTTCAGTCAACTGAGGCAAATTATGAGGAAATAAGTTCAGACCACCCCAGGTCACATTAAAAGAGAAAAAATATAAACACATGGTTGGAAAAGTCAAAAAGGTACAAGATGAAAAGTGCATCCAGTATCATCAGTCAGATCACTTTCAGACCAAAGGGTGGGTGGGTGTGTGTGTGTGTGTGTGACTTCACAACAGAGAGACAAACCACAGCCCCCCATGCTGTGGTCACCCTCTGCCCATCACATGACATCACCCACCTCCCAGGACAATTCGGGCGAAATCTCTGATCTGATTCCAATGCAGACCCTAGACTGATTCCGGGCTCACAGAACAACAGGGCGAGGACAGAGCTGAACAAACCCAGACCTAGGGACGCTCTACGGGACAACTAACTGGCCCAGTCTCTTAGCATATTAAGGT